TTGAATTGTGCTAGTAAGATATCAGTGTCTACCTTATTAAAATAAATAAATAAATAAATGGTATATATCAGTTGTGACGTGGACTTATGAATACAATCTTAATTGTTGGAAATGAGATAAAAGGAAAAAACATATGTGACATATCAGTTTCGAAGCTAATGGGAGTGTCGTAATATTCACTGAACTTTGTTTCACACGTAACAACAGAATATAAAGTAATTAGTTTTATTTAAAAACTATTAAAACTGTACTATACAAAGAATTTTCAAAATATGACCTTTACTTATCTGTCTATGCCCATAAATAAGTAAATTAGAGGATGTTGAAACATATCCCACAAAACCAACATTAGTTTTTGACATCCTAATAGCCAGAAGTCGATCCAACAGAAGTAGACTTCATGTTCAATTATAATATTCGTGTCATCTCTGCTCATGACGTCGTGTACGACGTTGTCTTGTTGATACGTACTATTGTACAACTAAATACATCTAATTGATCGAGTTGACATGAACCCACGCGCGATATGTCGCGCTAGTAGCTGGAGAAATAGACGTATCAGCTTTGGAAAAAAAAATTAGTATTAAAATGCTGTGCGAAAATGTTATAATGTGATGGTCTAAATATGTATAGCGCTAACGTTGTTTGCGTAAACAGGAAACTGAATTCCTTTTGATCTAGACTGTATAATTGTGAATAAACGTTGTTTTTCAGGCCGATTCCGTGGATGTTTCAGGTTTTTATTAGATTCTTACAAAATTTGGTGACCCATCAAAATTCCAATAATAAAAATCTAAAGTCGACAATAAATTAGATCTATTTTGTAAAAGTATTATTTTACAATGTGTTTTGACAGTCAAAGAGATATCAAATATTCAGTCATACATTTTTTATTGTTTTATGGAAATTCACAGCATTAGTGTCGCTGCATATGTGTGTAATTTGTTTCGATTGAAAAATAAATACAAACTTATTTTGCTCAAAACAGAGCTATTTTGAACATTTAAATAAACGCGTAGTCTTTGCAAATTGCTAATTTGTACTAAAACAATAAGACTCGTTCAAAATATAATTAGCTTTTAAAAAAATCTAACGACGAGGAAAATGTAAGCAGTATACTTCATTAGTACGCCACTGGTTCGAAGTAAACTTTTTGACGTTGCAAGCCATTTTGTTTACAAAATTTCGTTCCAAAATCATTATTTGTTCTGAAAATATTTAGATGGCATTTATTTTTAAACCTGCAACACCCTCATAACTTGGTTTGTATAAGGAAATATTCTTATAGTTGAAAGAGGAAAACTCTTCTTTCTTCTTTGTTTAGTAGGTTATTGCGCTACACCCTGTATGGAATACATCCAAGTTACCACTATTACCATTATATAAAATTACATTCTGTCATATGTAGTGTTTTTTTTTTAAACTAACGAGCGTTCAAATAAAAACGTGGTCGAAGTTGGCTCTGACACATTGGACGTAGGGCGTAGCTTATAGCGACCAACTTAACCTCATTTCTCAACGAGCTGTATAGCAGCTGTCAGTTTCAATAACGTTAATGACTATATAACTTTACTTTAAAGAATAATCGTGATAACAATAACAAACAATTAAAGGAGCTGCGGAAAGTGTCCCCCTCCTTGTTATAACACTTAAATGAAACCAGGCTTCATCAGAAAAAAAGGTGATATTATGAAGTTCACCGTAGTTGTTTAAAAACCATTCACAAAATACAGGCCGTCGCGGAAAATCAACTTCATGAAGTTCTTGCTGACAAGTTAAACGATAGGAGAACAAGCGCAAATCTTTTTTTAACACTGTGTGGCAGGTACCGACTGATACTCCCACCATTTGTGATAAAACACGTACAGAAGTTCTTGGCGCATTTTCCATTATTTGTTGGACATTTTCTTTTAATTCTTCAGTCCGCTTTTTAGGTCGGCCGCTTCCTTCTTGTCTTGTTACACCGCCCGTTTCACGAAAAACATTAACAGAACGCTGAACTGCACTTTGAAAAATTTTGTACTCAACAACGCCGGGAAATTGATTTTGAAATTCTATGAAACATTCCTCAATAGAATACTTCCATATTCCATCAATCTTGCGTCCATTTCTAAAGTAGGACTCTATGATAAACACTTTTTGTTCTTGAGAAAACACCATTTTAAACGCTTTTTAAAACGAAAATATTCAAATTGATAGCGGCGATATAGCGCTTTGACAGATGACATTTAAGTTCATTTGCTATACGCTACGCCCTACGTCCAAATTTTCAGAACCAACTTGACCACGTTTTTATTTGAACGCTCGTTCCAATATGCTGTTGTATTTTTTACTTTGTTGTAAAGGCAAAGCTAATTCAAACAAATGAAAAGAATTTTAAAAAATCTTATCAGATCAAGTCAAAAAAGTGATTTATTCACAAATGTTGTTAGTTTTTCTATACAGTCTTCTGTTTCTTGAAATATTTATCTCTCATGAAAGTTCAATTTTCCTCGATTGCGCTCATTAGAGATCTTCAACCCCTTATTTTACAACCTCGTTTATATTATTTGACATCCGCAAAGGCTACTCATCGTTAGATGCTGTTTTATATTGCGAATTTCTTTATAAATTGATTCATAATGTCACTTCAAGAAGTTATCGAGTGTAAATACACAACTACATGTATTGTATTGTCAAATAACTTCACGAATTAATAAAATGCACGTTTCGCTTCTGTGACAGAAAATCAGAAAAAGGAGAAAATGGAACACGCCTCAGTTTTACAGACTTCTACCGTTCCGCCCAAAACTAGCCCAAAACCTCGGGACTCCACCCCGAGCGTCTAAAAATAGCTCGCTAATCAACCGCATCGCGATCGTATGCGTACGTCGCCGTCGTGAAATATATAAAATACGATGTCGTAATAATTTAAAATAGCGCATGTCATTGCATCCGTCGCCGGTTCAGCTGACTTTATGCATGGCTAGGTGCAATGAATGAACTGGTTGCCGCGATGAGCACAGATGGCAGCACCTCGCAGGAAGACGCGGCCAGGCTCCTGTCGGACCGCGGGCGCTGTTGTCACGTTTACTGATTTTTCGGCAGATCTGCCAGTTTCAACTAATTTGTGTGGGAATTGTCGGCAATTTTTACACGAATTTTCTACCGCGCTTGTACATAAATGATGTTACATTTACGATAATGAGAACCAAAGAAAACTAATTTTATATATTTAATGATTAATAATACATTCATATATAATAATTTCGATATAATAAACGTGTCTCAAGATTTTCTCCTGTATTTTTTTTTGTATTTTTAACTATTTTCTTATATAAATTAGGACATCACAAATGAAAATATGTTGACGTTTTTCGCTCAAACTCCTTGACTTTGGCATCAGAGGAAAAATACACAAATTTCTAGTACGTTGTGGTTGTGCTCGAGCATATACATACTTACATATTATAATGATAATATAATCTTATTTTTTTTAAGTATTTGTAGCATGCAAAATTGGAAATAGTAAATAAATTAATATATTCGTTCTTTTCTTTAACGCAGCACTTAGGTAAATTAAATTAAGGCGATCTACCGACATTTATTTGCTAAATTTTGCGCGTACTTCTATCGGTATATTCAAGGTCCGAGGTGGCAACACCGCAGGGAACTGGCTTTCGCGTTTTTATTCTGTTTGGGTACCTGCGCGATATCTGCGTGCATATCTTGCCTGATCCTTATCTGCCTAGGCATATGTTTTTCGGATTCGAAATTATCGTTACTTGATATCGTTCATCTCTAACGTTCGATGTGATTGGGAAGGGGTAGGAATCGCAGTATTGAAATGCTATAAAAAGACTTACAAGATCCCTTATGGGTTTAAATACGCCCATTATTTTCATCCTATAATTAAAAACTTCTTTCGCCGCTGTTTTTTCTCATATAGTCAACATAGTCGTTTTTGATGCATATCGACGTGATACTGATTTTGAAAAGAATTTAGGTATTATATACTGTGAATTTCTACCGAAAAAATGCCTCATCTTCCATTCCATTGCATTACACTTTATACATCATTTAACTGTCACATAAGGTCATGTTATAGTTATTAAAAAAAGAAATGTATTCAACAATTGTAAAAATTGTGTAAGTGGTAGATAAGAAAAATAAATCGTATATATTTTCTTACACGCAAAACAACTGCTTAGTTTTTTTTCTGTGTTGAATAAAAGAGTCTTGTTTTTTAGGCATCTGATTAGTTTCTTCACTGCTCTTTTTTAACATTTTCCATAATCACAATATTTAATTGCATTTTTTAATTTCGTTCTTATTACATTTACATTTTTTTTATTTGTTCCTCACACGTAACTTGCATTACTGATAACAACCGAAAGAGACATGTTGCATGTGTTATCAAATATATACGGGGTGCAACTAAAATGCTTGGCTGGTTCTGTGTCACAAATTATTTAAAAAAGTTCCTACAAAATTATCGTTTTCAAGACAAAATTGTTAAAAACTGCTAATGTGACTACTTTTGATATTATTTCATAACTAACATCATGTCATGATGAGTTGTTGTCATTTTATCTTCTAAAATGTGTATCCTATCGACAGAAATTGCATTTTTATGAAAACTTTAGTGTAATTTAAAATATCTTGGAGGAGAAAAAGTTGCAAACGAAAATTCACCTCCAAAACTACCTCGGTCTTTGAAAAAATAACTGTGGCCTGTGGTATACCTTGCAATCCTACAAAAGTATATGGCTATGGACAGTCAAAAGCTAAAGATGTGTACCAAATTTGAATGAAATCGTAAGAACTATTTTTTGTAGAAAGTATTTAAAAAATTCTCCATCATTCTGTATCTTGGGAACATTGTTTTTCTGAACTTATTATGTTTACACAAACTTTTTTGTTAATTCCAGACGCATAATCTGCCGCTAAAGCTCGGCCAATCGTTTTAGTTACACCCCGACACTTTCCGGAACGAATTCTAAGTTTCTTTGTTTTTCCAGTGGCGTAGCGGTACTGAGTTGTACGGACTGCAGCGGCAGCAGCACCGCCTCGAGCGACATCACCGATCCCGGGTCCCCGTTCAGCACTGCGTCCAGTCATTCCGAGGACTCTGGCTCACAACCAGCTAAAATGCCCCCCACACAAACTGCCCACCACCCCCTCTGGTCCTGGACGCCAGAGGAGGGGCCGCCGTGCAAGCGGTCCCTGCAGGAGAAGACTACGACTAATACAACTGCCTTCACGAAACGCTTCAAGCCCGACGATGAGCCGAAGAGGAAGCAATCACCGCCATGCCTGAGCGCGGTGGCGGCCAAGACGCCACCCTTCGCCAAATTCGCCCTCGCCGACCCCAACGACAAACTAGCCAATACAATTAAGAAGATAGACAACCCCAAAATGCAACAGGGTAAGATAACGGAGTACTTCAAGTCCCAGATCAAGGCCAACGGCGTGAAGAAGGAGATCGTCAGTTTCGTCAAGCAGACGGAGGTGAAGAAGTTCGTCTCGCTGGTCGACCAGCAGACCCAGTTCAACAGTCTCAAAGCGCAAACCATCCGCAAGGACGGGAAGATCGTGGTGAAGAAGACGACCCAGACCAAAGTGAAGAAGGTAACGTCGGTGACGGTTCCGAGGAAGATCCTTCCCGCGCCGAGCAACATCTCGGATAAGATCACCATCAACGAGCAGCTGAACGGCATCGCGAAGTTCGCGCCAACGGTAACGCTGACCGCGCTCAGCTTCCCTCCGAACTACACGTATCTGCAGACCAAGGCGCCCAAACCCCCCGACAGCCCAATATTCGTGCCGCAGTTCGCGACCCTCGCCAACGATAAGATCCCCATCCCCATCATCAACCGGACGCCGTGCCTGAACGTCATCCAGCCGGTGCAGAAGGTCACAACAATCAACAACTTCAACTGTGTTAAGTTAAACGCCACGGTAGTGCCTCTGATGAAAGTGAACACCCTACCGCCTAGGATCGGACTGGCGCACCCCGGCATCGCCAGCGTGCTGGGCGGCCCAGTCGCGCTCAGCGTGGAGACGGCCGTGCCGACGGTGCTGTCGGCCAAGCCGAAGTTCAGCGAGACCAGTATTACGAATTTCGTCGCACCAAAGCAACCGGTCAGTCCGACCGTCCGCGCCGACAACGTACCGAACAAGTGCCGGACGGAGGACAGCTCAAGGACAGAGGAGTGCACGACGCAGGAGATATTCGGTGGGGACGAGGAAGTGTCGCGGACGCAGGAAAAGTCGCCGACGCCGACAGACTCGGACAGTGGCATATCGAACAGGGAGTGCTTGGAAGTGAGTGTCGGTGAGAATGTGGCGGTGGAGCAGCAGAAGTCGCCCATCCTGTCGCAACCGAAGACAATCAGGTTCCCGGCCAAGCAGGGCGCGAAGGAGGATGGGAAGTCGCCGCAGCATTCGACCGACGGCAGGTGTAGATGGGCCGAGTGTGATTCCCGATTCGACACCAGTGGGGCCTTATTAGAACATCTACAGGTAAGCAGGTTCCCTGAAATTGTGAATGTCCTCAAAACTAATTTCCGTCCGCTCAAAATTACTTTCTGTTGTCAAAAATAGATCCTCTAGGCCAGTGGTTCCCAAAATGTGGATCACATGGGTAGAGTTAAAGTTTTAACAAAGTATAAAAAATAAATGTTTGTTTTTTCAAAACTAATTTCAACTTTAAATTTTACATTTACTGCAGGGGCAAATGTTTTAAATCGATTTTACTTACAATTAATTGTGAAATATTTAAAGAATGTTTTTGGTGATGAAATCAGTTAACTTGATATTTTTTTTATAATAATTTGAGATTAAGAGAAAATTTACAAATTAGGCCAGGAAAATAAGCTGGGAAATTACCTTTTCGCGACTTTTTGTTTCGGCAAGCTGAATTTATCACTATAGATGCTAAATATTATGTACAATAACATATTAGTTTCCACAGTCATAAAAATGGGGGGAAGATTGTTTACAGGCTGGTTAATTGTATAATTTTTACATAAATTTACGTTTTTCGCTTATAACTTTTTTCTATTCATTTCCACGAGAAAACAGTAAAGTACTTTTTTTTCGTCTTCAAAAGACCTACAAAACTAGCCCTCGAGCGTCAAAAAATATTGATTAGATCAAAAGTTATAAACAGAAGA